TTTTTTTATTTATTTTTTAAAATACGCACACTTGTATGCGTGTGTGTTGTTGTAAGGCTGACGTGCGTATGGTAGTAAAGGATATGTATATAAAACTTGCGCCCTATCGTCAGGTGCGCCCTATGTGTGTGTTAAATACAGAAATGGCACACATAAATGAGACTGCGCCTTTTAATACGGTGCGCCTTATGGTCGTGAAAATACGGTATGTATGTGTATGTATATATATGTGTATATATATATATGTGTGTGTGATATGTATGTGTGTATATGTGCATGTGTATATACAGTGGCTTGAAAAAGTATTCATACCCCTTGAACTTTCCCACATTTTCTCACCTTCCGACCACAAACATAAATATATTTTATTGGCATTTTAGATAAAAGATCAACATAAAGCGACACACAATTGTGAAGTAGAAGGAAAATTATACATGACTTTAAATTGTTTTTAGAAATAAAAAACTGAAAAATGTGGCGTGCAAAAGTATTCAGCCCCCTTTGTCAATACTTGGTGGAACCACCTTTCGCTGCAATTACAGCTGCAAGTCTTTTGGGGTATGTCTCTACCAGCTTTGCACATCTAGAGACTGGAATTTTTGCCCATTCTTCTTTGCAGAACAGCTCAAGTTTAGCAAGATTAGATGGAGAGCGTTTGTGAACAGCAATTTTCAGATCTTGCCACAGATTCTCAATAGGATTTAGGTCTGGACTTTGACTGGGCCATTCTAACACAGGAATATGTTTTGTTTTAAACCATTCCATTGTAGCTCTGGCTTTATGTTTAGGGTCGTTGTCCTGCTGGAAGGTGAACCTCCGCCCCATTCTCAAGTCTTTTGCAGATTCCAGCAGGTTGTCTTCCAGGATTGTCCTGTATTTGGCTCCATCCATCCTCCCATCAACTCTGACCAGCTTCCCTGTCCCTGCTGAAGAAAAGCAGCCCCACAACATGATGCAGCCACCACCATGTTTGACAGTGGGGATGGTGTGTTGAGAGTGATGTGCAGTGTTAGTTTTCCTCCACACATAACGTTTTGAATTTAGACCAAAAAGTTCCACCTTGGTCTCATCTGACCAGAGCACCTTCTTCCACACATTTGCTGTGTCCCCCACATGGCTTCTGGCAAACTGCAAACGAGACTTCTTATGGCTTTCTTTCAACAATGGCTTTCTTCTTGCCACTCTTCCATAAAAGCCAGATTTGTGCAGTGCGCGGCTAATTGTCGTCCTATGGACAGACTCCCCCACCTGAGCTGTGGATCTCTGCAGCTCCTCCAGAGTTACCGTGGGTGTCTTGGCTATGTCTCTGATCAGTGCTCTCCTTGTTCTGCATGTAAGTTTTGGTGGACGGCCATGTCTTGGTAGGTTTGCAGTTGTGCCATACTCTTTCCATTTCTTGATGATGGATTGAACAGTGCTTCGTGAGATGTTCAAAGCTTGGGAAATCTTTTTATAACCTAACCCTGCTTTAAACTTCTCCACAACTTTATCCCTGACCTGTTTGGTGTGTTCCTTTGACTTCATGATGCTGTTCACTGACCAGTGTCCTCTTAGCAAACGTCTGAGGCTGTCACAGAACAGGTGTATTTATACTAAGGTTAGATTACACACAGGTGGACTCTATTTAATCAGTAGGTCAACAGCTGATCATTCAGCAATCATCAGGCAACCTCTGAAGGCAACTGGTTGCACTCAGAGAAAAGGGGGCTGAATACTTTTGCACGCCACATTTTTCAGTTTTTTATTTCTAAAAACAATTTAAAGTCATGTATAATTTTCCTTCTACTTCACAATTGTGTGTCGCTTTATGTTGATCTTTTATCTAAAATGCCAATAAAATATATTTATGTTTGTGGTCGGAACGTGAGAAAATGTGGGAAAGTTCAAGGGGTATGAATACTTTTTCAAGCCACTGTATATGTACACACACATATATGTACATACATACATACATACACACATACACACACACATATATATATATATATATGCATATATATACATACAACATGTGATTATTATTTACCACAAACTGCGTTCAGTTACAGGTTCCATTTTTAAATTTCAAAGTAAAGTTCCTTGTGACTGGAATCAAGTAAAAAAAATGGGTTCTTGTTAGTGATGGTGAAATGAAGCCCCATGAGGCACTGAACCACTTCAGCCAATTGGTTCAGTAAAGGGTTCATTACTCGAAGCTTCATGTGCACACGAAACCACCTACTGGCCAGATGTGTTATCACA